CTCTATGTTTTAGTTGACGTCAATCTTTGAATGCGTTATCTAAATAAACAATCTATATTTAGTCACATGAAAGGTTTTCTGATAAAAGATCCATTGGATAGAGAGAGTTACAATCCTTAATATGCAAAATTTTGAATGTTGCTCACTGATAACCAACTTTTAATCTTATTTTATTGTATTTTTAAAGTAATTACATTACGTTTCTTATTTTTTATGATGCAGATGCCTAATGTGTGAAAATAATGCAGTCCCTTTCAATAGTGGCACACCGTTAAGCTGCGCACAAACGCAAGGAACATTTATTGAGCTGTTACGTGACGAGCCAAACAATGTGATATGTAATTTTAAAGTGGAATAAAATCATGGAGAGTTTTCCAAATTTCTCACCTACAAAAATCTGAAGTGGATCTTGGGATTTGGATTCGGCCTCGTCAGTTTCCTTAAACACAGAAAATAGGATAATTTAGATATTAGCACATTCATGCTCAAACTCTGAAATAAGTATTAATAGAGACTTTTTTTTAATGCAAATTTAACAGACTAACGCGTGACTCTGCCAGAGCTGGACTGAAGAGATAACTGAGCCATTTAATGAGTTGGGATTAACAGAAATTACTTTTTTAGGACATTCCTCAAAAAGCCTAAAGATGAAGATAATTTCTGGGCTAACACGACTAATGCACACCGATTATCTCTCTGGAGACGTTGTAGCTTCAATACAACGTATCACTAGAGCGCTACCTTGTAGCTATTAAGAAATTATAAATGAATTCAATGCAAAGTGCGATCTCTGTTTCATTAACACGTAGCTTTTCGTCTGCGTAAACATTCTTGCACAACCATCGACGTTCCTTCACCTTTTCTGGCCCAATGCTTAATGAACCTGGTGGAATGTTTTACACCAAACATTCTCTTTCTTTTTTTTTTTCTTTTTCCGATTCTAGATTGACGGCTCCACACTGAGGACTATCTGTATGCAGCACGGCCCCCTGCTGACCTTTCACCTGGGCCTAACCCAGGGCAGCGCTCTGGTTCGATATAACAGCCGGCAGGAGGCGGCCAAGGCTCAGGGTGCTCTTCACATGTAGGTTCACCAGCAGCCCCACAGACTCTACGGATCCAGTGCTTCTCAAATATTGTTTATAAAAATAAATCCCAATAATGCTTTAAAGCTTATGGTTGGAAGTAGGGAGGAAATTAATCTAAAGTTGATTAATCTTATCAGTCAACTAATAAGCGGCGGGAACCTGAGTTTGATGATCAGAGAGATTTCCATGGAGAAATGCAGACGGTACCGACTCTGTTTGCTGTTGAAGGAATAGTGAAACTTTGCTCCATGAAATGCTTTAACTCTCAGCAGTCCTCAAAATCAACCATGGTTTTATTCCACCATTATACAATTTTTCTGTGTGATCCCCTCTGTTTTTGTGTTTTTTGTTATATAAACCTCACCTTTGTGTCACATGGATTTTTGGTTGGGAAGTTGACCCCACTGCCAAAAATTAAAAAATTGAATTATGAGCATAAACTCACACTAGAATAACGTCGTTGTATTAAGAGAATAACATGATAATATTACAATTTTGTTCTGGTAATTTTACGTCTTTATTCCCGTACAGGTATATTCTTGTAATATTGATTTTACTTTCGTAATTTTATCACTATATTCTCATAATTTCATTCATTTTATTGTCTCACCAATGCCTAGTACTGCATCATATCTCCGCTCGGTGTTTATGCACGTTTGTTTTGAAGTATATAGGCCCGTTTGCATGTCACACTGGACTCCGTTTGGCATATGTCTGCCGTCTTAATTCCTGTATCATCTGGCTCCAATTAAGGAAGATCAGGGCGCCCTCTGCTGGATGGCGGCCAAACTACAACACTAAAACATAGTCTAAGCGGACGTCATTAGTTAATCAATTGGTTTCTTAGAGTAAAATTAGTTCCAATTAATAATCATAAGTCAAATAGTTGTTTGCGTCCTTAGTTATAATGTAAGAAAACTTTGAAAAGTTTAATGAATATGAATGATGTTTCATTCAGTTGTATTCCTTAAAGACTTTTGCCTTGACTTGCCTTCCAGGTGTGTTCTGGGAAACACCACCATCCTGGCTGAGTTTGTGAGTGAAGAAGAGGTTGCACGCTATTTTGCACATTCCCAGGCCGAAGGGGCCGGCTCGGGAGGAGCGGCGGGCAACGGAGCGCCCGGTTCATCCGGAACGGGCGCGGCCGTGGCCAGCAGCGGCGGGAGCTCTCCTGGGAGTGAGCGGCCGGCAGTGGGCTCGTCTTCAGGTGGGAACGGAAATGGCGCCGGCGGAGGGGAAAGGTCGTCCGGCTCTGGATGGCAGAGTCTCGACAGTACGGGCGTGTCTTCGGAAGCGTCTTCGGCCCAAGGACCGGGGCTCGCAATATTCTCCCAGTGGAGCACCAATGGGGCCGGGGAAGGAGGCGTCGGCGGGGTGGAGAGCGGGCGGTCTGGGCTGTGGGGCGGCATAAACGCAGCATACCCGAGCAGCAGCCTGTGGGGAGCACCCCAAATGGAGGAAAGGCACCAAATGGACTGCTCCGCCGGACTGTTGCCTGGCGACCTGCTGGGTGGGGGGGCCGACTCCATCTGATGAGCCCGCCTAACGAGTACGATTGGATTCGAACACACTGATTGGGCATACACTGGGATACATATGTACTTAATATGGCACACATATTTACATGGTATGCATATTGATGTACTGAATACATACCCGTGCGTACATATACTAGTATGCATATTAACGTGCACACACTTAAAGCAGAAATGTGAGACATGCTTACACACATTCTCATGGCCAGACTTAAGCTATTATATTAAAAAAAAAACAAATGCAGGGACTGTTAGATGTGTATTCAGCCTTTTTTTCCACACATGAAGATTTCAACTGCTTAGACTTGAAACCTGAAAAAGAAAAAAAAAAAAGAAAAAGTCGGCGAGTCTCAAAGACTCGACTGGATCGCAATGTGCTTAGTAAGTAGGGGGACTTTTTAACCGATTTACATGAACATGCACACACCAAATACAGAGAAGCCTTCAGACAGACAGGCACTGTAAACAGCATTACCTTCATCATTATAAGAGAACACTGAGGAGCGCAGTTTGTATTCACATCCCCTTAAAGACAGAGATTGAATCCAAACACATGCAAAACGGCTCTGATCCAGATCAGGGCTGTAATCTTACTGTGTATGTTAAGTTTGTTTTCTTTTTGTTGTTGTTGTTTTTTTTTTTTCTTTCTTGTTTCGTTTGGATGTATGATTTTAATTTTTGAATAGTGAAATTTTGAAAGAAAAAAAAAAACGAGAAAAAAAGAGTCATTGATCCGTTTTCAGAAATGCTGACCTCCTACTGTTGTCTCACGCACTCTTGTTTTTTGTTTTTTTTTTCTGTTATTCGTTCTTGAACATGTTTGTTACTGTTGCGGTGATACATGTTTAATTGCTGGCATTTTCAGGCTACGATGCATTTCTCCACGTGTCGATGCTGTGTGTGCGCGGCATCACACACACTATGAGTATGAGTGAGACTGAGACCAAGTAAGTGGATTATAAACCACCGCAGTCGCTGTGCATGTGTGCGAGAATGTGACGACTATGCGTGTGCACACGGTGATGCCTGTCATAATGTGGGCAAGGCTGCTTACTTATACAGAAGGTCTATACAAGAAAAAAAAGAAAAATGTTATGAGTGCATTTGGTATTCTGCTGACTGTGTGTTAAGAAATATTGGCACTAATGCTTTTTTTTCCCCCTTTTCATTTTGAAGTGTTTTTTAGTAGATATGTCTTTTTTTATTGTCTGACCTGCAATAATATTAAAAAAAACAAACAAAAAAACATTTTAATGACACAAAGAGCTGAAGGCATACGCGTTGAGAAAAATGGACATGCCAAATCTTATCAAACTGTGTGCAGTGGGCGGGGCGGGGCCGGTTGTTTACAGATACAGTGTAAGCGTTACCGTTCGTTTTTAATGGTTTGTTGTTGTGTATTTGTTTTAAATTAAGACAGGCTTTAACACTCCTGTTCAGTGTTTTCGTTTTGAGATTTTACAGAAGACAAATTTATTTAAACAATGAGAACAAGATTAATAAAGATGAAAGTATTGGCTTCTAAGTTTGTCCTTGTGGTTATTTTTATTTTTTATGAAATGTATGTAGGTCTTGTCAGAAATTTGCATAAATTCGCCTTGGACATAGATATTCGGATTAAATGTGTGCTTTTCAATGCAATTGAACAGTTAAAAAAATGACTCATTATGCAAGGACCACCTAAATGTTTTTTTTTTTTATAACCAAGAACAGAGTGCCCATGTTTACATTTTTGGGGATTTTTTTCTGTACTCTACACAATGCCAATATTCCATTTAAATATTTAGCATTGTATGTATTAAACACAACTGAAATAATGTACAATTGTGGTTCTGTGTGTAGGCTGTCAGAGGAACCCACTTATGCACAGAATAGACACACTCCGCTTAGAAAAGACCCCCAGGTTGTACAGCCTCAACCGATTTGGTTCACCTCAAAAATAACAGCTAAAAATACTTAAAAGATTTTAAAAAAATAATGTTATTTATTCTGACTATGAATATTTGTGGTCTTCTAACCAGAATTATGTGAAATTTTTCTCCTGTCTGGGGACTTGAAATGTGAATTTTCAACAGTATCCTTTGTTCCACCTCAAATGTTAATATTAGCAAAAACATTAAATATATATTTCATGGGTATCACCACTAATAGTCTTGCAACAAGCTCTGAGTCAGTCATCGTTTTATCATGAACACACCAATCCAATTTAAAACCTACGTCACAACGACAGTCAACAATGGCTTACAGTTAACTGTTCACTTGCTGTAAAGCGCTAATGCGATGTAAACAAAAAAACATGTTTAACTGTCACAATTCTATTAAGTAGTTCCTCTTGGAGCGAATAACGGTAACTAGAAATTTAATGAATGGCGAAATTGAATAAGGGAGGCGCAGTTAGATTTGACGTTCCGGTTTTAGTACTGACGGTGACATTCAGAGGGTGACATCATCGACGTTGTGAGCACGTACGTCGTTAAGTAACGAGAGGAGGGGAAGGCAAATCAGAGCGGAGAACGGCCGTCTGTGCTGCTGGTGCTTCTCAGGGACTATCAACAGGGAGCGCAACCGACGACTGAGCTCAGAGCTGGGGGTATGAGAGCTGTCATAATCCGCTCCCATCCTCTTCTGGTCGGTTTCTTGTCCGACTGACAACCACCGGATCAGAAGCTCCACTTGACCAGCTGTCGGACGAACCCGATATCGGGTGAGTGTTGAGCCGGGGAGCCATTAAAACCGAGGGGGAAAAAGAGACCCGATTCGACCGAAGCGGAGTCTCCTATTCACGGCTTATAGGAGAGGGGGGGAGGGGGCAAGTAGTAGGACTGGCTGTCTACCTTGGCTCGTTGAATGCATGTAAGGGTGCGGTTTTAAGTAAGACAAAAAAATGACTTATTCGACTGAATTAGTGTTGAGCTTAATTAAAATTTAGAGCCTTTTCAGCAGTACGCCCCACGGTTCGGGTAACGTATTCCTCGTACTAGCTTAGTCGCAGCGGCTAACAGTCAACTTACGCCGATTCCTGCGGCTTGTATTTCTAACGCAAACTAGTAAAAACAGACATAAGCCGTTTAAGTCACCCTTTTATTATTTTTGTCAAATTACGACCGTATATGTTTTATAAATTTTTTCTAAAAATAGCAGCACTTTGTCAAACGGAATACCGACTGAATTGTGCCACTATAGATACAAAACCGTCGTTTTGTTAGCATAAATGGGGGGTGAGGGGGAGGAAAAAACTGCGCACGAGATGTGGCATCCGTTGAATTCAGAACAAAGTAGTTTGTAGTGACAGCTGTGAGGGGCGTAACGTTAGCAGTGTTCGTGTGATTGCGAAATAATCTGTTTTTTTGCGTGACTGACGTTTTCTTTCTGTTTTTTATTATTATTTTAAGAGTCTTGAATAGATATAATTTTAATACAAAAGTGCTCCAAACAGAAGTTGTTTGGATTGATGCAAAGCTAGGGGGAAAAAAAACAAACAACATATTTCCTTCTTTGCAGTCGTCACTGTGAGGTGTTGAAGCTTAAACCGTAGCATTCCAGCTCCTTGGAACATCATGTTTTCGCAGCTACTACTAAGACTCCCCTTGAACCAGCAGATGTGTACTGTACCATCTTGACCAATCCACTCTCCTGGAGACGATTACTACCGTAATAGCACACGTTGTTTTTCCAGTGCAGTGTGACAGGCTAATTCCCATTGCTTCACCTCACACACTCACACTGTCTCTGAGACCTGAGAGTGATGAATTCCTCCCATTGCCGTTGAGCTTAAGATACTCACAGCTTCGAGAATCCTAAAATCCCCTTCATAAGGCGAGCTAAGACCAATACAATAGCATTTATTTGAATGCATTTATGCTAACAGTAGATGCTGAGAAACGGGGTTGAGTGTTGTGCGCCTCTGTTTCCGAACTGCGTGCTTTCTTGTTTTAGTTTTGTAATTATTTCACTCCTCTACTCTGGTCTTTTGTTGCAACACTGGTTCCACGCTCTTGCATGTAATGACCCTGACTTGTTATTAACTCTGATCCGTCTGCGTCTGTCACATCTACCATGGCGATTCAATTTTTGAAAATGTTTTTTTTAAATTATTATTGTTGCCCATGTACTTTGGATTATTTTCTTCTCCATTAACTAGTTTCATCAAAAAACCAGAGGATGTATTTATCCATGTGCTTGTAGCCAAAGTATTCTAAATAATTGCAGCTGTGTCTGTTGTATGCCATTTCCAACTAATGGCATACAACAGACCTCTTTGGGATCTTAAACAGGCAAGAAATGTTAAATTGCTATGGATAAAAACATAAAATAAGTAAAATAATCAGAGATGCACAAAAGAAATGTACTTAAAAACCATAATTTGACTATTTTTTAGCTTAACCATCACTGACCTGTGATCAGCCTTTCAAAACATCCCATTTGTAGTCAGTGAGTTGTCTTTAAATCAAGCAAGAGGTCATACAGAGAAGCAAGAAGAGGTTAAATGGAAGCTATTTTACTGAGTATGTAGGTGTGTTTATAGTTTTTGAAGCTGAGAGAGCAGAACTTTAAAACTGCTGTATGTAGCTTTCAAGAAAAATGAAAGCTACATATTTATAATATATATTTATATATATATATATATTTATATATATATATATATATATATATATATAATATTAATTCCCTTCTCACCCACCGCGGGTGGTTCTTATCCTCTGAGCGGGTCTACCAGAGGCCTGGGAGCTTGAGGGTTCTGCGCAGTATCTTGGCTGTGCCAAGGACTGCACATTTCTGGACTGAGATGTCTGATGTTGTTCCTGGGATCTGTTGTAGTCACTGCTCCAGTTTGGGGGTTACTGCCCCGAGGGCCCCGATGACCACAGGCACCACTGTGGTCTTCACCTTCCAGGCCCTCTCCAGTTCTTCCCTGAGGCCCTGGTATTTCTCCAGTTTCTCGTGCTCCTTTTTCCTGATGTTGCAATCACTTGGTATTGCTACATCTACCACAACGGCTTTCCTGTGTTGTTTACCCACTACGACAATGTCTGGTTGGTTCGCCATTACCATTTTGTCTGTCTGGATCTGGAAGTCCCACAGGATCTTAGCTCTGGTGTTCTCCACCACCTTTTCAGTCCATATTCAGGTTTCCAGTCCATATTCTGCACAGATGTTTCTGTACACTATGCCTGCCACTTGGTTATGTCGCTCCATGTACGCTTTCCCTGCCAGTATCTTGCACCCTGCTGTGATGTGCTGGACTGTCTCAGGGGCCTCCTTGCACAACCTACACCTTGGGTCTTGTCTGGTGTGGTAGATCTGGGCCTCTATTGCTCTGGTGTTTAGGGCCTTTTCCTGGGCACCCAGGGCCTCTGTGCTGTCCTTGAGTCCAGCTTTTTCCAGCCATTGGTAGGATTTACTGATATCAGCCACTTGGGTTATTTGCTGGTGGTACATCCCATGTAGGGGCTTGTCCTCCCATGATGGTATCTCTGGCACCTCAACCTCCGTTCCCTGTTGTCTGAGACATTCACTGAGCACATTGTCTGTTGAGGCTTTGTCCCTGATGTATTTATGGATCTTAGTTGTTTCGTCCTGGACAGTGGTTCTCACACTCACTAGTCCTCTGCCTCCGTCCTTGCGGCTCGTGTACAGTCTCGGGGTGCTGGATTTGGGGTGGAACCCTCCATGCATTGTTAGTAGTTTTCGAGTCTTAATATCTGTGGCTTTTATCTCCTCCTTTGGCCAGCTAATTATTCCAGCAGGGTATCTGATTACTGGCAGGGCATAGCTGTTTATTGCACGGATTTTGTTCTTGCCATTGAGCTGGCTTCTCAGGACTTGCCTTATTCGTTGGAGGTATTCTTGGAGTGAGCGAGACATCGACTCACTGATCCACACCACCAGGATCTACAGCACGGACATTGGAATGTCATTCGGACTAGAGAAGTGTGGTCGGCTGGTCACAAAGAGGGGGAAGGTGATCCGCACAGAAGGAGTCTCACTTCCAGAAGGAACAACAGCAGATATAGAGGACAGTTACAAGTACCTAGGTATACCACAAGCAAATGGCAACCTCGATGAGGCCACAAGGGAGCCTCCAACGAATATATATATATATATATATAATTTTTTAAAATTGTCACCATTTTGTGTAATATGAGACAATCTGTGATAAGACGGAGCTCTTCCCCGAGTTATTATTGTTAAAATGTACAGCTTCTGGTCAAAAACAACCAATCAGAGCCAGGAGGAGTGTTTTAGTGCTGTCGATCAACCACTATGCAAGTGTGCTAATGGTGGGGAAACAACTTGTTTTTTTTTATTTATTTATTTATTTATTATTTTATTGAAATCAGTTGTTTTGACTAGACAAATACTAACACAAAATATCAGTAATGTAATTCTTGTTAGTCAGAATGCTGATTCAAAATATCTCAATTAAATGAATTAATTGATACCACCTAATTCATTTGGAGATATCTAGTCCAGAATTATAGTTCCATATATTTCTAATTTAGTTTTGTCTTGTCGTTATTATTATTATTATAATTTTAAAAATTTCTGCAATTTAATTTGCACTAGTCAAATCTAAAAAATACTTTTAAAACTGGATTGTCATTAAAAGATAATCTTGACTATTCAGAGCAAAAAGTGAGATCTTAAATCTACTTCATGACTAGACGTAATTTATTTTTCGATGACAGAAAAATGTTTTCACATGGTCATTAATTAATCACTGATATCTCAATTAAAGCTCCCACACAAATTAATAGTAGCTCTGACATCATTTATGCTAATCAGAAGGTATTTAAGAGATATCTCAAATAGATATTTTGAATATAAAAAAAAAAAAACATAATTAACGATTCCTTGATGTTCTAATATGCATCAGTTTTTAATATCTGGAATATAACTGAAACAGATTTTATGTTCAAACCGCCTGCCATACTGGTTCTCCAAGAATTGTTGCTTAATTTGCTCGAGTTGTCCTCAAAGTGAACTTGTTTTGAAAATTTTGATTTTTTCTCCAAGTAAGATAAGCGGAGGTCGTGTTGTGGTTCCGTCTTAGGAATTGATACATTATCTGCATTTATATTATTATATTTTATTCCCTTAATATGAATGTACTTGTAGGCTCAGTCTAACTGTGTTCTCAGCCGGGCTGCATTTTGAAAACGGCACATTTTGTCGACACGGAGTTCCCAGATTAACGCTGGGAGTAAACCTCGTCTAATGAGCGCCGCTCCGCAGCTCTGGGCTTTCTGGAGTTCATTACAAAGACCCAACGGTCCGAAAGCTCTGACACAGATCCAGCCAGCCAGTGCTCTCCATTGCTGTGGCTGCTCATGCCTTCTTTCCTTCGGCGTTGCCAGCCCCGCTTTGGCAGAGGCTGCTTAATGTGGCGTGGTCGAGCGAAGCGCTAAATAAGTGATGATCCCGCGCCGCCATCACATGCAAGCTTGGCTCAGAAATTAGGCTTGATTTCCTCATGCATCCCAAAGCCTCGTGCTCATGCAGCATCAGGTCCTCCTCGTTCCTCTTCCAGGTTTAAACCGACATTTCTACGTTGGCCTCTTTTTCGTTTCTATTTTTTTTTTCTTTTTCTCGCTCCTCCTTTCTTCTGCTAATCCCAAAGCGGTCCACCACCCTACCATCTCTAGCTACCATGCTAGTTCCACCGTTTATTTATTTTTTTGTTCTAGATGGGTATTTTCCTGCTAACAGGATGCATCCTCTTGTAAACGTGGGGAGTTTTGCTGGGATAAACTCATCATATGCTGAAAAGAGTCTCGACAAAGACTTCAGTCATTCTGTCACGTGGCAAAATAAAGAAGCTGGCTCCGTTTTTAATGCTGAATGGTTTGTAAGCAATGGGGAGAATGATATGAACTTAAATTTTTATTACAAAACTGGTAATATTGTTATAAACGTGATAAAAGGTGTTTTATTACTACTTTTTTCTGCAACTCTGTGGCTGTGAGTGCACGGCACAGCAATTGTTGCCTCTGAAGCACAAATTCTGATCTTGAGTAACATTTCTTTTTTATAGCGCGCTTCTTTAGGACACCAGTCACACAAAGAAGTGTGATTTATATTACTAAACCAATGTTACTATAGTTAAATAAAATGAGCAAAACAATGAAAACTGAAATTGAGACATTTTGTTGATTGAAATAAAGAAAAATGTTAAGTGATGGGGAAAAACTAGAACCAAGTGGAACTATAGCATGCGTTTGTAAAACTAAAACATTCTGAAGTCAGAGATTTACTATGTTTCGTCTTTGTGTTTATGAATCTATTGATTAACCTTTTGATTAACCTTTTGATCTGATGTGAAATAAACTTTTATTTATAGTTTTTTTTCTTTTTCTTCTGGTGACACTTAAGCAAGCACCAACATTTGGAGGAAACACCATGAGTTCGTTGTTGTTGCACGACAATTGAATACATTTTTTGAAAATGTAATCTTCTGTTGATATGTCTTAACAGGCTACAGAGTTGAGAATATGTGTGTTTATACGTTGCGTTTTTTTCTCTAGATCTACGTTGTCCGTTGATGACAGTGACACCTCGCAACCATGGAGCTGAGAGTGGGGAACAAATACCGGCTGGGGCGAAAAATAGGGAGTGGATCCTTCGGAGACATTTACCTCGGTAAGCGAGGGAGGAAAATGTTCCTCACCTTCATCCACCGTCAGGCAGCACAACGCGCTTCTCCTGCACGCCCCTTACAGATGTGGTTATTTTTGTCCGCTTCCCCTCAGGTGCCAACATTGCGACGGGCGAGGAAGTCGCCATCAAGTTGGAATGTGTGAAGACCAAACACCCACAGTTGCACATTGAAAGCAAGTTCTACAAGATGATGCAGGGAGGAGGTGAGCACCTGCCGCTTCTACGTGCTCGGCAGGGTTTTTCGGCGCATTCCTTTTCTGATGCAAAAACATCCTGCCGAATCTGACGCTCGAGCAATGAAATTCAAATTCTCTTGTTTCTTAACACAACTTATATCAACTTTGCTGCGGTTTTAATGACTCTTTTCAAAGCAATGCTGCTGTTCTGCCACTCAACCCGACATGCTCCCATTTTATTTCATTTGACCAGTCGGGATCCCATCGATAAAATGGTGCGGCGCCGAGGGCGACTACAACGTCATGGTGATGGAGCTGCTGGGGCCCAGCCTGGAGGACCTTTTTAACTTCTGCTCCAGGAAGTTCAGCCTGAAGACTGTCCTGCTTCTGGCAGACCAGATGGTGAGACTCGAACTTGGCCTTATAGAAACACTCAGTCAACCAGTATCAAGGTGAACGAGCTGTTTACAATGCCAGTAGAGGAACATGACAGGAATGTTTCTTTCTGCAGCAGGTCAGTGTGTATTCTGCGTGTGAACATTGTATATGATTCCCTTGAAGTCTTTTTAAAGGAGATAGGTGTTCTGATTTCCTCGGCTGCTGTCGGCTTTATTCTGTGTTGACTGAGATATTTCGTATCCCAGATCGAGACTCTTGACTCACCTTTCGCCCCCAATGCGTTACCGTGTCAGACGTCCATATGGCCGTCCGATTGGCTGTTATTCAGCCTTGGGGGGGTCATGACCTTCCTGTCCCGATTTGTCGCGCTGCCACCGCCAATCTGTCCTCCTTCTGTCCGATGCTTAAGTAGCTCTCACACAGCCGACTGTCGGCGTAACAAAGTGTTTCCTTTCCAGATCAGCCGCATCGAGTACATCCACTCCAAGAACTTCATCCACAGAGACGTGAAGCCAGATAACTTCCTCATGGGTTTGGGCAAAAAGGGCAACCTGGTGTACATCATTGACTTTGGGCTGGCCAAAAAGTACCGCGACGCTCGCACGCACCAGCACATCCCTTACAGGGAGAACAAGAACCTGACGGGAACGGCGCGCTACGCCTCCATCAACACGCATCTTGGAATCGGTGAGACCTGATGCGAGTTTTACTGTGATACTTACTGAGGGAGAATGATGACATAATCATATGTTTCACTCGTAGAGGGTTGCTCTGTTCTGCCTAATGATGGCTACATAATAATCTGGCCTTTGCCTGGTGGTAGAGTTTAGTGGATGCACAGATCTAATTGTCCTTGGAGTTTTCTGTGTTTTTTTTTTTTTTTTTACTCTTGTTGAAAATGTATTTGTGGTGTATGAACATGTTGGTGGTTTTCAGACCAGATATTTGTCCCTAAAATTATCGGGTTTAGTTCTGTCTTATTCATGCACACCGGACGCTTTGTGTTCACAGAGCAGTCGAGACGTGACGACCTGGAGTCCCTCGGTTACGTCCTCATGTACTTCAACCTGGGCTCGCTGCCCTGGCAGGGCCTCAAGGCTGCCACCAAGAGACAGAAGTACGAGCGAATCAGCGAGAAGAAGATGTCCACACCCATCGAAGTTCTTTGCAAAGGATATCCTTGTGAGTCCTTGTGCATTGATACAGCCACATGCTCCTGAAACCATCCACAACTTCTGTGTTTAGTTTGTTCTAGTTAAAACGGAACCGGAAGTTTTATCTGTATATTCACTTTGTCATTCTTTGTTCTATTTTTTGTTGTTGTTGTTTTTCTTTCTACAGCCGAGTTCTCCACGTACCTGAATTTTTGCCGCTCGCTCCGTTTTGATGACAAACCGGATTACTCTTATCTACGCCAACTGTTCCGGAATCTCTTCCACCGGCAGGGATTCTCCTACGATTACGTCTTTGACTGGAACATGCTCAAATTTGTATGGTTTTTTTTTTTATTATTATTATTTTTTGTATCCAAACTTTCCTTGCTTATTGGAACCTTCGATGGAAATCTCCTAATTTCTCAGGGCGCCAGTCGATCAACTGAGGATGGGGATCGTGACAGAAGAGCCGGAGATGATCGAGACGACCGGATTGGAGGAGCCCCCAGGGGGTCTGCGTCGCGGGGCCTCCCTTCAGGCCCCACCCCTGGCGCTCCCAACAGAGTCCGGAACGGACCAGAGCAAGCCATCTCAAACCCGGCCTCACGGGTCCAGCAGTCTGGTTGGTTACTGATTAAAACACATTCCAGTGTTAAAATTTAAATTGGCGGTGTTATGTTAAGTTGACTTTTTTATGGCTTTACATGTTGCATTATTATTTCTTCATCAAAAACATACCTAGAGTGTGTTTTTGATTATTTTATGCATGTTTAAGAAGTCCTGTAGCAACTGATCAACTTGTGCAAAATGCCTGGGTGGGTTTAGCCCCGCCCTTGATTGCAAAGCTCCTCCTCAGAGCTGTATTTTCCAAGTTCCTCCGCCGAGTAGGTCCTCCGCCTACTCGGCTCCTTCAGATCGGCCAGCAGCAATTAGCAAACACTTGGTGGATTTTTCCATCTGCTGAGCTCATAGGAGGCTCATTATAATGCTGGTTAATGGAGATGTGATGTTGTGATGACTTCCTAAAGGCGGAGTTATTTTTAAAGAGACAGATCAATTCACAGTTGTTAAATTAGCAAGTCATTTTTCATGTATACAGTACTTTTATGACACAATTACTTGATTGTGCTGTAAAATGATACCATCTGACTGGAAAACGCATACAGCCCCTTTAAATCACTTTAATTAGAAGAGAAAACTTTGCCAACGCGCATGTTTTCTAGAAAATCGTACTTAGAAGCCGTCTATTGTTTCTCTTCCCTATAGGCAACACGTCACCTCGTGCAATTTCCCGCGCTGAGCGGGAGAGGAAGGTGAGCATGCGTTTACACCGTGGCGCTCCTGCCAACGTATCGTCCTCTGACCTCACAGCCCGACAAGACCAGTCGAGGATTTCCACGTCACAGGTGAGGCAAATTTTTGCTTTTTTCTAAGCAAAAATGTTATCATCCTTCATGGTAGATCCCCCTTTTTGACACATATTGTGTTTTAAAACAAGAGCTATATATAATTGATTTACTCATATGCTAGATTAATGTTGTTTGCACTGTTTCCTGCTGGGATAGACGCCAAACATGAAATCTCTAACTTCTGATGTTTAATCTCATGGAGGTATTTACAGCTTACCGTTTCAGTGTTTAGCAATGGTATTAATTCCCCTGGAGATTTTCTGCATTTTCCCACAATTCATCTCCAAAACATCGATGTATTTATAAACAAACTTGGTGCATCACATGGTTGACTGTGAAGAAGTGTAGCAATAAAACATGCCTCAATAAAATTCAGTTCATTCGGTTTCTTGCTGTGAATCTTGTGTCGATCTGTCAGTTAAAACATTTTGTAGAATTGAAAATAAAATGAAAACCAGATATAATTTTCCTTCACTTCACGGTTATGCCCGAGTGTTTCACTTAAAATTCTCCATATGAACATTGAAGTGAGTGTTTGTACTGCAGCAAAATAAGCATAAACACATTTTTACAGTTCACTTCTGATCCGATCAAGCCTTGAACATCTTAAATGTGGAACATACGGCTGGAAATCACGTCACCATATAACCGATTTGTTTGAGTCTATCGATAATTATTAATCAGTTCTCTGTTAGTATTTCAGATATTTCAAACGTCTGGTGGCGTGACCATATTGTTTTATCCACAGTATTCACTCTGCGCCGTTTGTTTTTAAGCAGCTGTAAGTGGCCAAACCAGAAACTGCTGCTGCGCATGTTACTCAATAGCTTGTTGCTAGGCAACTAAAGGGTGTGTGAGTTCGTTGATGCTATTTGCTCAGCTGGCCGTGAGTGATTGAGTGACTTAAGTCTTTGCCTACATCTCCCAGAATGCTGTGCGGTTCAGCGAATATTCTAAATAATAAATATTGAGTATTATATTGATCATGTGTCTATTGTAACATATAGTTATGGATTTATTGACTAGATGGGAGTTATAAAGTGACATTTCAGAGAAAAAAGCCAAAATCAGACTCAGCAGGGCAGCCTTTTTAAGGATCAGTGATTGGCCAGAAAACTGCAATCGGTGCAGCTCCAGATTACATCATGGGAAGATAAATCCATCCATTTACATTTAAGTTTAAAAATGTAAACTGGAAGTCATTTGCCTTAAACTTTGTTCCGTCGTCATTTGCAGGTCAGCGTGCCGTTTGAGCACATTGGGAAGTGAGATTTTGCAGCTCCTCATGCACACACATATGACAGGTGAGTTGAAATTTTACATTTTCTATTGTCAGGAATATAAATACAAAATCTAATTCTGATCCTGTTGTTTTTGCAGGGCTGCAAGGAAGTTTTGTCACTATACTTTTCTTTACCCCCAACGTTCTTTATACTTTGTTTATTGCAAAACTGTTCAATGGACATGCAGGGTGTTTTCTTTTTTCTTCTGATATTAAATGTTTAAAGGGTTCAGGAAAATACACAAAGGTATTCAACATGCGTTCTTACCCAGACCGCTATAGGATCACCACCACAGTACGTAAAACCAGTGACAACGCTGCACCTTGACAGTTGCTCATTCCCACCCTGTTGTTTTTTTGTTTTGGTCCTCTAAACATTCCCTTGAAAACAGTCAGCATTGAAGGAGCAAGAAAAAAGGAAGAAAAAAAAAAAGATTTCAGGAACATGCATGTTTCTTATTGATGGTTGATCAGACTTAGAAATGTTCCCCCTTTTTCCCAGAAAAAGGTAACTGTCATCTTCATCATTCATGAAGGAATATGATATCGAAGGTTGAGTATCCCTTGTTTGTTTCCTTATTTTATTCTTTGTATTTTTTAAGAATGGAAAGCTAAATCGGATGAGGCATGTAGATTAGAGGGCGGCAACCACAGGAAAGGAAGCGAATGAGTAAGTGATGTTTTTTAGCTGGTATTTGTTTTTCCCCTCGCATCCACTTTAAGACATAAAAATCCTCTGCACATCTACTCTGTCTATTTTTATTATTATTTTTACAAGCTTTTATTTATTCTTTTTTTTTTTTTTTTTTTTTTTTGCTTTGATTTTATTCCGTGGCGGGGAAAAAAAAATACGATTGTGGAAATTTGAAGGACTCACTCCTAAGTCTTGAGCGAAGCTCCTCAGGAAATATCTCAGCATACCAATATTCGACCTGAGACCACAGCTGCCCATTTTGGCTTACAAACAGGGGATGCAATTTTTATGATATTTCTTAAAAGTTACCTTTTTTATTCATTTGTTATTTGGGGCTTTGAAGAAGGCGAGGAGAGGGTGGGGGGCAGTCACTGTTAGGAACATGAGGGCGGGTCGGGGCATCAAATTTCTTTTTTTTTTTTTTCTTCTTTTCTTTATTTCTTTTTTGTTGCTTACTCCACTGTAAATATTTTTTTATTTCATTGTAAAGCCAAAATGTGGTTATTGTAAAGGTGTAAAGTAGAAAAATGCATACTAATGACTTATAGGGCGTTGAATCCGAAATAAACGTGGAGATAGGCGACGGTTGCTGTGCCAGCTGGGTCATCCAACAGGTGTGATTGAGTCGAGTGCTACAGAAAAACCTCCAAGATCAATAACGTTGCTTCATCTGTTCAGATCCTCCAAAAAAAAAAGACTTCCAGTGTTTCTGTTACAGAAAAATAAATTGGTTTAGTTGACACCACATTCTCTTTATTTAACTCCTCTTCAACTTTGTCATTAGATGCGTGTGCGTGCGTATGAATGGAGTGCACTGTGTATAGTTGCCATTGTACAGGCCACCATGACCCAGTGGCATTGCAGTTGTAGCTTGGAGGATGAAGCAAAAGGTATTTCACATTGTGTATTGTGTACCGATATCCTGTACAGTTCTTTAACACTATTTACAGTATTTGTGTATATTTTATGAAGTAATAAAATGGATAATGTTGCTGACAATCTGTTTGTTGTTTTTTTTCTTTTAGATATATTTGCTCTTGCATGAATGAATGACTTGTGTTTAGGGAGGAAAAAATTCATATGAGAGGATACTTGAACTATGTCCAGGCTTTATTACATTTTTTTTACACCTGTTAGTCCATTCCATCAGTTCCTTTACCTAACAATCACTCCTTTCTTTCACCCATTTGTCCATCAAAATGGGTGATTTAATTTCTTGTTTCATTACAGTCAGGGTTTTCTCTTGTTCATTTAAAGCATGACTGCTTGAGAAATGATTTCACAAGAACGTTTTTTTGTTGTTGTTTTTTTATTATAAACTTTAAAAACTTATTGGGGAAAGCTAGGACAGGTGTAACCTACACTTCGCCATTAAAAACCTGTGGTTCTCTGAATGGAAGAGGGAGGGGGGAGGTGTTGAGAACTTGAACGTTACCAACCATGAACTGGGCGCGCATGCGCTCTCGGAGCAGATTTCCAAGCGAGCGGCTGTTGACACAGCTTTATGATGTGGGCGAAGTAACGGTCTGTGGTCATTCTGTTTTGGACTGCTTCTAAAAAAAAAACAGTTATCTTTCTTTTTACTACCGTTTTTGCGTGGGCTCTCTTCCACGAGTTCAATTCTTGGTTATCTTTTCGTGTAACGCGAGGTTTTGGGCGGTGGGGAGGCTTTGCTACTCCCTTAGCTAGCAGCGAGCGGATCAGCTGCCGAGCGGGCGACACTTCACCGCTTCCACGGGAAGAGAGGGAGACGCTTCCGGTGTGCGGATAATAATGCAGTGATTACATACGTGGCTCGCTGTCGACTCGATATTAGCCGTTAGCCCCTTAACTTTTAGTTTGGACTCCCGGGGGTTCACCAGTCAGCTGGAGATGAAGAGCTAAATTGATGCTTGGATTCAAACGTCTACAAAGGAGGTAAGCTTACATTAGCAACACGGAGACATTCAGCAGGAAATATTAGTCCGCTGTGTTTGGTGTTGTCTCCGAGCTCGCTCAACTTCTAATGCTGCTGGTTCTCTCTCCATTTTACGTAATGAATACTTTTTCTAATTTCCTGCGCTATTAATTAAATGATTTTGTTGCTTCCTGCTGACGTGACGACGGATTGATTTGTGGAAAAAAAAAAACCCGCTTCTTTATCCCAAAGACGGCTGGAGCCACACAGCTCAAAGTGCAGCCCGTGTTGTGAAACCGATCCTCGGATGAAGTCAGCAGGATGGATGAGCCGCTCCTATCTGTTGTCTGTGGCCCCACTGGGAACCAGTAAGCCGTTACTGGAGCTACAAGCTGGTGTTGGTGCGCTGCTGTGGTCCGTGGATTTCACTCGAGAGATTAACTAACCCACTCTGGTTGTTGTCCGTCTCCCCTTTCCCCATTTTAAAGGCCCATTCTGCTGTATTTATAGACTAATTTATGTTAAATAACTCAACCTTATGTGGATTATTTTATACCAGTGAAACAAACAAATATATATTTTATGTTTTTGGGGGGCTTTTCATGGGGAGCAGAGTTATTTACACAAAAATGCAGTTTGGAATTTTTGAAAGTTTCATCACCATTAAGGATGATTTCTATTATCTAAGACCATCTTAGGTTGTTGTAAACTAGAGAGGAACATTTAAAAACCCCTTATTGAATATATGAGAAGATTAGGTTTAAGGCATTTGCTGTTGTTGGCTTGAAAACTAGAATCAAGAAATGGATAAAAAAAAAAAGAAAAAGGCCTTAAAATCATTGCCTTTAAACTCGCTATTTATATTCAATCTGTCATTTGGACACCTTAGTCTAGTCTAGATTTGAAGCTCCGAATGGATGTAATGAACTTCAGCAGTGTTTGTAATTTAATAGGTAGCTATGCCAGTTTATTGATACATCAAAAATTCAAACATGCTTAAAGGAAAAACGAAAAGAAAATACATTTTAGCTTTAAAGGTCAGAGCTTATTATGTCACAAACATGTACAAAGGAACAACTGTTAAAATGCAGACTTAAAAGTCAAAACTGAATATAAACTTAAATTAAAATCTAATGCTTCAATCACTCACCAGACAAGCGATTTGTTGGTCAGATTTGTTTTTATTGAAATCTGAAACAAAAATGTCCTCAGTCCTGATTTAACCGTTTTCTGCACATCTCAGGTTTTCAGGGAGTTTGTTGCCCGTGGCAAGCGTTCAGACCGCTGCTTGGTTTTTAACCGGTGTGTGGAGAAAATTAAAAGCGAGTCGCTAAATTATACACGTTGGTCATATTGAGAAGTACGACGATGCAGAAAAAAGGGCTGGTGTTTGAAAATGACGACAATGAATCATCTGATCTATCCTGAACTCAAGTTTCCTGAACAATCTGGTAAAGAAATGGACTTGATATACAGACCCATTCAGTAAACAAGAATGGTATTGAAATATCATTTTATTTCAGGAACTTCATCACATTATATTGATGCCTTTATTTCTGAAAATTATGATTTCTCGCTTACTTTTAATGTCCATTTTCAGTTAATCGGTTCTGGTTGTTGATCCAGGCGACTCACCAAATGCAGGAGAATAGTTTTGTTTGTTTAATTAAACTAACAAAAAAATCTGTTTCCTGCCATTCTTAGTCTGCAAACATGACACCGGTTTTTGAGACCGATACAAATCTGACGGAGGTTGTTGATGCGTCATATGGGGATTTTTCTACATTTTTTGTTTTCTATTAAATTCTAAACTACCTCGTTTTCTTCCATCCTTCCTTCTTTCCTGATGCGCTCCCTGCATCTGCATTGTCACAGGCTTATTGAGTCTCAAGGCAAGGGGCATGAGTCACCCATGACCGCAGTGCACGCACACACACACACACGCACACACACACACAGGATCCTATATTTAGCTTCTACTCAGAAGGGCTTAGGTAGTAATCACAAAAATGAGTTTTCAGTACGAGCGAGTCGATCGCCACCTTCCTGGAAACGCCACCGAGACGCCGACAAGGTGAGCGATGCGTGTCGGCCAAGTTGGGTGTCTTTTTGATGTGATGGGCTTTCAAGTTTGGCCCTTCTGGCTTTCATTTGCCTGAGTGCTGTGCGAATAGTCGGTGCGCATCAAAGATCTCTGTGAAAGCCGTCAGGGAAACATCGAAACGTGTTTTTCTACAGAAGACGTGTTTTCTAAGTCTGAAAAAGTATGTGGAAAAAAATAAAAAGATGTGGAAACAATGTGTATTTCTGCACCGCATTGCATCCATTCGTCTAACCTGCTTGTTCATCAGCTAAAAATGGGCTACAAAGTCTGAGCATTTACTCCTGGAATAGTTTGAAACTATCTAATGAACTCAGTGGTGAAATTATTTGTTATGAAACTTTTCTTTCTGCATTTATGGAATGAAACCGAAAAGTAGAGATGCCTATGTCACTTGATTAATTTGCTTTTACAGAACTAAGTTAAGGTGGTTTTAGGTTTTCTGGTGTGTATCATGTTTTGAGCTGATTTGTGCTCTCTGTGGAAATTCGTATCTATCTTTAGCATTCCTCTACCTGCCCTCTGCGCAGGGAAATAACCAATCTCAGTTTGTTTCATGTTAATATCCCGGTGTTTTTTTTTGTTGTTGTTTTTTTTATGTTCCCATGATTCTCTCCTCTCCCACCTACCTCATGCCATCTCCTCTCACCCCCTCGGTCTTCATCTTGCGTCACATCCACCCGACGCCTTCTGCATTTTAGATCTGTGCACTGTCCTACTTTCGCTGTTTTCTCTCTCTCTCTCTCTCTAACATCAGTGAATGTTGGCTGCAGATTTAGGTCACAGCTCAGGCTTGTGTAGTTCTGTTCAGCTGTATTTTCACATGACGTTGTTCGATTCAGGATTTATAAGTCGTTAAGACGAACCGCCCGAGTTCGTTCCGATTTGTATCACATGAAGCATGATCACTGACGAGGCCCCACTGTCTCCGAACAGATGAGTCAGCTTTGGTGGCGAGCCAAGCGCCTGTCGGAGAGGTTGGGAAGCGACTCTCCCGATGGCCTTCCTCCGGGCATCCCGAGCACCGTGGCCCCTCAGGGGTCCAACTCCTCCTGGGCTCCCATCCCCCTGGTGTTCAGGCCGGAGGAGACGTTCTTCCTCATGACGTCCACTGCCCAGACTATCTCCGGGTTCTTCGTCTGGACGGCGCTTCTCATCACGTGTCACCAGGTAAGAGTCGGACATTTTGAGCTAAATCCGCCCTCGGCCTCCTGATGGAGGTGCCGTCCAGGGGCGGTCCTAGCTCCGTTTGGTGCCCTGGGCCAACATCCTCCACCATGGGATCACTGATGCACCATGAGACACACTCAAAATTTCTTTTAACTTTTTTTATTTTAAATTTTATTTTATTTTATTTTTTATTTATTAATTCACCAATCAGTGCATAAAATACAAACACATTAGGTGCACAAAGTCAAAAAAGCCCACAGAAAAAATCCAAGTGCTGTCACATCAAAAATGGCATTGTTTAACACATGTTTATATATATTTGATTAAAAAATGTGGGAGAAACAAGGCCGCTAAAAGTATACAAGTACAAAATTGAAATAAATTGCACCATTAGTCCAACATTTAGGAAGAATAACCCAATCATGTATGATACAGTTGGATTTTGATGAAAACACAAATTTCACTGCACAACTGTCAATCCAACTTCTTGCACAACTGTTATAAAACGTCTTACTCTTAATAAGGTCGTTACTTTTCAAGCAAGAAACAGGCGACAGGTTGAGCTGAAGAATCGTTTCATAGTGTGGAAACTGATGACGCCCAACAGGAGGAGCCGCCCCGGGCATCTCGTATCAAAAACTGCTTCTGGCACCATCAAAGAGATTTTATTTAATCTTTGTATTCATGTTTACACACACTAAACATCTGAGCACACCCAAAGTCTTTTGTTGCCTGGAGATGAGGGGTGTCCAAGGTGCGGCCCAGGGGCCATTTGCGGCATCTGCAGTGATTTTGTGCGGCCCATCACTGCAATTCCAGGTGCTAACTTGCCAATCTCTTGCTCAGGTGGTTGGTGCAGATGGAGACGTTTTATTTTTAACCAAGGCAAAATTATAGCAAATCAGAATCTTAAAATAGAAAACGTTGGTTACAATAACCAGACCTTTTTGTCTCCTCTTGTGAGGAATCCAGCAGGCTTTGCTTTCAATGAAATGCTTAAAACTTTGCAATGCACTTTTAAACAAAAGTGACCAGGATCATGCTTCTATTGCTCAAAATTGACAAAAAAAAAAAAAGTTCTGTCGTTTGCAGGTGAAGTCTACATCAGATCTCCAGTTTGTTTTGAAGCGGCTAGAAGTTTATGTTCAGTGTTGGCTCTGCTGATGAGCTTATTACGCCTTTGTTTTGTTTACATTCATTGTGCCTGCAGATCTGTCATATCCCGAAGGCTGGATCACTTGTCTCTCCTTGTTTGCCGGTGCTCTTCACATTCAGAGTTAAAGAATAGGTTGTTGTCGCTCAGGCAACAGGTGCTCCACTAGCACCTCATCAATAATCAGGAGATGAGTGTTTTTTGCTCGTGTTTGTGGGCGTGCCCGTTCTGCCCAAGGCCACCTAGCAACAATGTGTGTAGATGGGTCAGCTCGTTTGGTGTGTGGTCCCCCGCTTGTCGTCACTACACCCCAGGTGTGGGTCTGGGGGTGGAGGGAAGGCTAATAGGTGCGGACATTGTGTTGGGAAAAGCAGGAGGCAGGGGGGCCGGATGGAGCAGGCAGAGGAGTCCCTGAGATGAATGATTACCCTGTTGTTCCTGCCGTCTGCTGCTCTGAATAGGAGTGATAAAAGCTTGGTGTCAGTTTCCTAAAAACAACCCCCCCACACGTTGGTTCACACGCACACATCCTGCCGGCTAACGCGTCTCCAGTGTCCGAGTTCGCCAAGTTAACACGGTCCGCCAAGATTCGAGTTTCATCAGGTTGGGTTTCGTGTCAAACGGCTTGTTTGTAAAACCAAAAAAAAGACAGTAAAACTTTAGATTCACACAGACCAGAGCTACTCGTTCAAGACTTTCAGAATGTCTCTGTTTGTTGTTTGCGCTTTGTCACTTTCGGGTGCATGCATGCTTAGGTTTAGGTCCCGGATGTCGTGGGGTGATCGATCCAGGCTCAGTTTGTTTACAGTTTTCATTAACAACAACTTTTTAAAACAGTGGGACAGACACCGGAGAGCTCTCACTGACCGTCTTCCCGGTTACTGCACTTTGTTCTCAGGTTCCTCCCGGTGTCCTGTTAAAACTAGGCAATTAACCCTTTGCTTCTTGTTTATGATGTCTGTGCCTCCCTGAAAGGGCTTTAAAACGTCTGAAATTTATATATCTAATTAAGTCAAAAGTTTGAGTTACACGTAGACATCTTCATTGCGTTCTGCAACTACCGTTAGCTAAATGCTTGCTAGCTTTTTTGCATCTGCATAGCTTTTAGGTCTTAAATTTTATTCAAGATGGCATTAAGAAGGTCTTAAATTTAACGTGCTGAAACCTGCAGATGCCGTGTTGTTTTCTCAGACACTGCCTGCAAAACCTTAAGTTTGTATAAATCTCAGAATAAAAATGTTTGTCTTATAATTTCTCTCCGAATCCCATTAGATCTACATGCACCTCCGTTACTACAGCTCTCCAAACGAGCAGAGACACATAGTCAGGATCCTGTTCATCGTCCCCATCTACGCCTTCGACTCCTGGCTCAGCCTGCTTTTCTTCACCAACGAGGAGTATTACGTGTACTTCGACACAGTCAGAGACTGCTATGAAGGTTGGTACACATCCAGAGCCCGAAGCTGACCCCGGCAGACACAAAACCGTCGGGGCAGAACGAACAGCTGAGTGTTTCAGAGAGCGTCTCCTGCTAGAAACGAGGCCGTGCGGATTTATGTGAAACCCCGGTGGCAGATGGCCTTTGTAATGTCTTCGTTTACAAAGGTTGCCATCTTTGTTGTCACGTCTCCAAGGCCTGCTGGGATTGCAGAGGAGGGGGAAACCAGTTTCCTAGCAACCGTGTGAACGCGGATAAATCCTTGAGAAAGGATCCCGCCTTCGGGCAGATTGATCATAACTCGTCCAGTCAATCTCATCAGACGATGGTTAAATTATTAAACACAGGTATATTTGTCTTAATATACCTCTGAAGTGGAAGAAAGGAGATTCATAAGCAAACATAAAAAGTTTTCCATGCATTTGTATTCAGCAATAATTTGCAGAACCGCCTTTTCAAATGAATGATGCAAACACAAATACACAATCACAAAAAAACAAATGTAAAAGTTGCAAAGGCAACAAATATAAGCAAAAATTGACAAGTAACAACAGCATAAAAGAGCTGTTACCTGAATGGTCTTCTGGGACCTGAGTGGTCTGCTCTGCATCCCCAGAACCAGAACCAAACACGGAGAAGCAGCGTTCAGCTTCTCTGCTCCTCCAATCTGGAAAAAACTTCCCAAAAACCACAAAACCGCTGAAATACTGAGTTCCTTTAAATCAAGGCGAAAACGCAACCTGTTTGCCTTTGATTCAGAATTACTAGAAGGTAGATCAATATGTTTGATGTGTATTTGCTCAGTGATTTCGATGATGCAATTTGGGGAAAAATAGTGATGTTTACTTCTTGTTTTTTCATAGTTGATTCATGTTTTATGTTTTTGTGGTGTAAAACACTTTGAGCTGCCTTGTTGCTACAAATAAACTTGACAGACTAGTGAAACAAATTTAAATGAAAAATTCTGCAACCGCAAGAAACAGAAACAAAAAAAGGAAAAACAAGAGCAAGTATAAAATTGTTGCAAACTCAAAACGGAAGTTCTCCAGACCACTAGAGGGAGTCAACCACCAAATCATGCTGTAACAGACCCTCAACAAAGTCAGGATGTTTTGAAGGAAGTTGGAGGAAGGAAGAAAAAAATGTGTTTTACTTTGGGACTTTTTCAAACACACAGTCCTTCAGAATAGAGCACAGGAACTGTAGGACAGCAGCTTATTTACATAGATAATTAATGACTCCAGACATCCCCTAGTGGTCTGGAGGACTTGCGGTTTGGTGGAGCGAGTTTGCAGCGTTTTATACTTAAGGTTGTTTTTGCTATTTTCCTTTTTTGCTTCTATTTCTTGTGGTTGCAGAATTTTCTATTTGCATCTCTTTTGCTAGTCATTCAAGTTTATTTATAGTCCTCGTTATCGCAAGCGTATTCTGAAACAATTTTAGAACTTACAGTTTTGATCAATTTTGGAAGTTGACACTTGATCGGTCCAGGAAAAAGTGCTGTTTTGGCCTGCTATGGTGAAAGTGAATACTTAGATTAGTGGGAGTGCAGGATCTGAGCAGTGACGCGAAGCAGATCCTGCAACTCGCCATAAAAAAATCATCCCAGAAACATCCGCTGCACCTGGACGTTTCATCCCAAACAGCCTGGAACAGAGTTCGGTTTTTATAAGCTGTGACTGCAGGGTCGTATTTTAGATCCTACAATGATCTTAGTGTCAGAAAATTCTCAAAGCAGGAACAGGACAACTTTTTGGCAAGCTGAAAACAACATGCGCAAGTCATAAGGAACAATACGGATTACTGACAGCTGGTGCAGTACAGCGCAGAGCCTGCAGGGGGCTTCTCTTCCACCAACATCTGAAAACAGCTGGTGTTTAGACTCACCTCGTGTTTCTGTTCTACATTTTAATATGCGACATGAAGTATTTCATTTATATTAACAATCACATAACAATTTTATGCACTATTGCGATTATTATTCTTGGGAATTTTCTCCTGAGCGTTTGCATTCACGTTTTGCTTTCATGCACTGCTTGACCTTTCCAAGCGACAAGGCCTGAGTTTGTTTTAGAGGGAAAAACACAGCATCTGTGATTATGCAACTCTTAACAAAGCCAGCTCTGTGCTGCTGCTGACTGTGCTCTGGCGAGTGTTTTCACTGCGCTACAGAGTTGAGCTCAGCCACTTTGGACAGTAAAATTAAAAGAGAGCGCAGACAGAGGGGAGCCGGCGTCTGCGGGATCCACCAGGGGGAGCAGGCAGCGCTTCCACGTTTATCTACTTCTCAGCAAAAGGGCCGTCACCCAAAATGAGATGTTTATGTTAGCTTTAGGTGTTTTGCTGCCTGACTGGAAAGACACAACAGCAGAGAGTGCCTGACATGTTTGCTCGAGCAGCATAACGGTCGCCAGCTGGCTGCAGGCTTTTAAACACAACATCGACAAGCTGCTTTGGAACCAAACTTCTACCTCTTTACTTCCAACCACATTCAGGGTTTCTGCAAGGTGCTAAAAGTCTCTAATACATTTTAGCTATCGATTGATCTACTGATTATTCTGACGATTAATCGATTAATCCAATTTTTAAAAAATTGGCACATTGTAGATTTTTAATTTAAGCAACACTCCAGGTATGGTTGAATGAGGGAATGACAAAAAAAAGTTTATAGGAGATTTTCTTTTTCACAAAATTTGAAGCAGGTGAAGATAAAACTGCCACTTGAGGAGTTTTGGGTAAAACAAATTAGACAAAAGAAAGTGCAAAATGCTTATATAATTTCAACAGTTTTGGCATAATTACTAATTTCCTCTTTCAGCAAATGGCTTTTCTCTAAGTGTGTAACTCCAGTTGAAGATTAATCGAATACTAAATTAGTAGTCAATAATCGATTAATCATGATAAAACCGATTAATCGTCTCAAACCAAAACCGATAAGCCGCTTTTATTTGGCTTGACGGGAGCTGAGTTTTATTTAACACTTTTTTACAGCTGATTGGTTGTATAAACAACAGAAATACTCAAATCCACTAAAATCCTGGTGTTGCACCTGAAGTCCCGGGTCCAAAAGACACATGTGCACCAAGCAGGATTACAATGTGTCGCCTGAACAAGCCTGCGCATGACATCAGCATTATTTTCTCTGTACCGTGGCTGCGTTCCACGAACACCAGCTCTGCCAGGAGTTTGTTTTCCATGAACAGGGCTCCCACAGGTCCCCTCTTATCACGCTGGTCCACCGCCACACGAGAGACCGGCGCTTTAGCATTTATGCACAGACAAAACCAGCAGATGGCTGGGATTCACTTCCAAGTCGGAATCAGGCAGAATCCGCAAAACAGAGCTGCAATTATGAGAGACATTTTCATAACAGAGCGATCGCTTTGTTTTCCAAAGAATGAATCCAGTTGTTTTTAAAGGTCTTAATAATAAAAAGGGTGAAAAATAACACATGTTTGTTCGCCTCCCTTCGCAGCGTTTGTCATCTACAACTTCCTGAGTTTGTGTTATGAATATCTGGGAGGAGAGAGTGCCATCATGGCCGAAATCAGAGGGAAACCCATCGAGTAAGTTTCATTTGCTGCTAGCTTAGCTTTCAGTTTCATCTTTACTTCACCTATTTAACAGGAAGATGACCCTAAAAACATGATCTCATCCTGTGCTGACCTGTGCCCTCTCATAGGTCAAGCTGCATGTACGGGACCTGCTGTCTGTGGGGAAAGGCCTACTCCATTGGTTTCCTCAGGTTTTGCAAGCAGGTATCGTTTGCTGCATAATGTGAGAGTCGACCTGGTCCATTAAACCAAGCCCAGAAAAATAAAGCTGAAATTTCCTCCAAAGTGAAGAACAGGAAAAAAAAGAAAAAGGAAACGTCCATTTTTAAAATGTTTGCCTTTTGGACGGATGAGCAGAAAAATGCTGCTAGCAGTTTTCAAAGCAGCAAGTTCCATAATGGGAAGAGGCTCAAAAGTCAAAAAAGTGAAATAAAAAACCTTATATGTTGGTCCTTCCTGGTATCTTCAGGTCAGAGGAGCCTGACCTGCCGATTCTGATTCCAGCCAACAGAGATTTGTTTTTCTGTTTGTTTCCTAACTTTCATTCACCCTTTCTTGATACCGAATAAACCAGAACCTGCTGACTCTTACACATTCAAAGATCTGGGGAAGAAAAACTTGTAACCGTCCTCTCCTGCTCCCTCAGGCCACTCTCCAGTTCTGCGTGGTCAAACCTCTGATGGCGGTCATCACCGTCATTCTTCAGGCCTTCGGGAAATACAAAGACGGAGACTTCAAGTAAGAGTCGACCGCGAAATACTGGATGCTCAAAGTGTTTTGATAAATGTCATATTTTATACCTCCAGCCTCAGTTTGTGTATTCATTCACCAGACTCTTCCTTCCCCGTGTTTCTGCTCTCCAGCGTTGCCAGCGGCTACCTGTACGTCACCATCATCTACAACATCTCCGTCAGCCTGTCGCTCTACGCGCTCTTCCTCTTCTACTTCGCGACGCGCGAGCTGCTCGTCCCCTACAGCCCCGTGCTCAAGTTCTTCATGGTGAAGTCGGTCATCTTCCTCTCCTTCTGGCAGGGTGAGAACGCCACAGCAGAGTCAGCAGAAACCTCGCTGCACTCGGACCGATGTGAAGATTTCTGCCGATACGCGGCAACGTTGCGGTCGCGGCCGATAACCGACATTTACTGATGTTTCGTTCCGTCTCGATGACCCCGAGAAATAAACGGCAAGATGGAAATAAATGTCAGCTGTGAATCTCGGCCCAGCTTTATTTATCAGATCGATATTATGATTAAGAAAAGACTAATATCGGCCGATACCGATGTTGGTGCCGACATATTGTACATCCCTAAATATAATAAGAGCTTTTTCAAATAGAGATGCACATAACCGTGTTTGTTAAGTTGGTAGATCTCAGTAAATATTAATAACTAATATTGATTCCTGTCTTGTTGAGTAGGAGGATTAATATCGGTTATTGATATCGGCCCAAATTTTCAAATCGGTGCCTTTCAACCTAAAATTCAGTATCTTAATATTAATTTATCACTTTTTCCCACCAATTTACACATTTGTTTTAATATTTAAAGCTTTTTTTGATGAGCTCTGGGCTGATTTGTTTGTTGTTCTAAAACATAAAAACGTAACCAGAAAATGTTGCTGATCTCGTTTGCAGTTGACGCCACGTGCAGCAGGCCTGAGAGACGGATTCAGGTCGAGGTATAAATCTGGAAAAAGAAAAGCCCAGTAATATTTCTGCATTATTCAAAGCCTCCCGACGAAGACTAAGACATTTATTAATCTTCCAACGAGTGCGTAAAGTAACGTCAGAAAGGGGAAAAACAACTTGCTGAGTGGCGAAGCTGTCTTTGTTTGGCCAAAGCGCGTCAGAAGAGTTCATGAAGCTAAAGCTAGCGTTAGCGTCCCACCATCCTGTCATGGATCTGGTCGGTACTGAAGTTTGATTTTGGATAAAAGTGGCTGAGAGAAATCATTCATAGTGAACAGCAACACTGCTACGCTCACAATCGTCTGTAAACAGGTTAAAATTTCTCCTGGACCTGTTTGTTGGCGACGCAGGCATGCTGCTGGCCATCCTGGAGAAATGCGGCGCCATCCCTCGGATCAACTCCGCCGACTTCTCCGTGGGGGAGGGAACGGTCGCCGCCGGCTACCAGAACTTCATCATCTGCATCGAGATGTTCTTCGCCGCCGTGGCCCTGCGCCACGCCTTCACCTACAAGGTCTACATGGACAAGAGGCTGGACTCGTACGGTAGGGTGGGGGAACCGTCTCCGTCCAAACTCCTCCCCCGCCTCGGGACGGGACCGACCTCGCCCCGCTTTTCACTTTGACTCCTGTCCATAACTCAACGAACTGTTAACAGACGCTCTCCTTCTCTCCTCCTGTCTGCTCTGCCGCTGCTTTCACCCTGACTTCCTTTTGTTCCTTCTCTCTTTCTCTGCTCCTCGTTCTGCTGCACTTAAAGGCTCATTTCCCATCTATGGACAATACGGTAGGTCTGCCTCTGTCTCGTCTCTTCTCCCCTCCCAGTATTGTGATTTAACTGTGGTTAGTGATTCATTATTTTGTCTGTGACCATCCCGTGATATTATTTCACCATTTGAAACGTCCCGTCTTTATTGCTTTTCATATGGGTCTGTCTGTTTTTCTTGGTTTTCCTCTCCCTGTACCGAGCATCATCCTGCAGACTTACTGCTCATCAAAGCTACTTTTATTTAAGCTATGCTCAATTTGTAATATTTAAGAATTAAGGTCATAGACATGCTTCTTTTGGCACTTTTTAAAATGCGTTTTGTGCAATTTTTCAACTGAATTTCCAAAATATAATTAGGAAATCTGTTCTTTTTTGCCTGCAGTTATTTATTTGTTTTAATTGGGGATTAAATTACATCTTATTACAATTTTTTATAGCTGCGCTATAAAAGTAAATGTTTTTCCGAACATATAAACAAAATCCGGTTCTTGAATTAAAGAATGAAAACAAATTTACTTAAAAAAAAAAGGGCAACATTTAAGTTTCCAAACTAATTTTGTTCAGTGGAACTGGGGGCTAAATCTGTCCTTTGGATTGAAAAACAAAATAAATGTGTGTCAACTTCAACATTTGCTTTTTATCACAAAGTGAAAGAAGTCGGCTGAAGTCGGCACAGGCAGAATATTTAGCTGCTTTGTGTTTGAACTGCTTTATTTTTATTTTTTTTTTAATCCTTTTGCGCATTTTAAAAATGTTACTTTGCAAAACGAGGCATTTTTTTTGTTTTGTTTTTTTTTTCTTTTTTTTTTGTCACTCATCTCTTCCCTCCTCCCTCACGCCCCCCTAACCCCACCCCCCCTCCCCCCTCCCTCTGCGTCTCGCCCGGCGTTGAGTCGTTTTTCCCGCCTCGCCCTGCAGGCCGCGGCGCTCCGATGAAGAGCATCTCCAGCAGCCTGAAGGAGACCATGAACCCGGGCGACATGGTCCAGGACGCCATCCACAACTTCTCCCCGGCCTACCAGCAGTACACCCAGCAGGCCACGCTGGAGCGCGGCGGCGGGCCGTCCCTGTCCCGCAGCCACAGCAACCTCAGCGCCCGCGGCGACAACGAGAAAACCCTCCTGCTGAGCTCCGACGACGAGTTCTGACCTCCGACCTCCTGACGTCTTACTTAAGCCTTAACTTTCAGCGGTGTTTTTTTTTTTTTTCGTTTTGTTTTGTTGTTTTTTTTTTTTTTTTAGTTTTCGTTCGGGACGAGAACGACGGCTCTGGTCGGAAACCGTGGCGGCCGGAGGCGTCACAGACGGACCGCCAGAGGCTTTTTGAAGGCCGGCTCGTTACTCGTGGTGATGTCGTATAGCAGCTGTGGTTGTCACGGTTACAGATGCTAGCTAAACGTCTGCATACATCAGAATATGGGTTAGTACTAAATAACTGCGCCTGCTTACAGCGTCTGGTTAATGCACTTTAGATGGTACAGCAGAGAAAAGAAGTGCCATCTTCATCTAAGACACACAACTTTCTTAGTTTTTTTGTTTTTGTTGGTTTCTTTTCTGAACATTGCCAAAAAAAAGAGAGATCTGAGCTCCACTAGTTTTTAAGCATAGAGTTGCTTTACAGAGAAAGGTACGGAGATTCAATCTGCTGGCTTTAGGTGTGTTCTTTTTTACTGTTATAAATAAATTTATATGTCATGCTGTGCACAACGCATCATTAACACACTATTTGGGAAATGTCTGTCAGATATATTGTGCATATACTCTGTACTTTACTGTAGGTTGGTTTGATGAGACGCAGCGACAGTGAACCCAGCTGTCCGCCCAGACAGGACAGCTGCAGGAGAGATTGTTTTGTTTTGATTGGCCGGGGGAGAAGAGGGGGGAGGGGAGGGGGAGTACGACGCCCACGCAGATTACAGATTACCCAAGAAGCCACGCTTCCTGCTGAGCTGCCCCAGCTGTGACATGCTGGACTCTAATCTTATGATTGATGCCGTCAAGTTCAGCGCAGAGCCTGCTGCCCCCTGGTGGTTCCCACACGTTACTGCATCTCCGTAACTCTTGGATAAGGAAAGGCTTTAACTTTCATGGAGTTGATGATCACGACAACACGTGGATTTATATTTGTTGTTGTTGTTGGAAGGTGTTAAGAGAAATGTGTTTCAGCAGGAAAATCGTGATTTCTGGTGTTTTTGCTGACCTCTGCTGGCTTTAACGACCTTTCTCCAGAACATGATGAGAACCATTTCAGCCATTAGGTGTTTGTCAAGCCTTATGTTTATGAATGCATAATCCAGTCATATTTTAGGTATAAAATTATTGCAGACAAAAACAAGGTACCTCATAGTGCAGCTCATATGAATGAATAGTTTCAGTGAAGTTGGAAATTTTGATGAGAACTTTTATTATTTTCGGGGATGTCCTGATCCAATGCAAAGTTTTGCATTTTTAATTTGAGACTGAACTAAACCCAACTACAGTACTTGTTATTTTCCTGAGTGATTAATATTCACAGCCTCTGCTCATGTTGCCAGTTTGCAAAATGGGATCAGTGGAAGTGACGGGTTTCCCTCACAAATGTTTACAGTAATATTCGCAGTAGCTGCGTTTCCATTGACCATATAATTGCACAATTTGGAATCACGAAAAGAAATGTGCTTAATAGTGAATTTTCAAATTTCGGAAATCGTTACATTTTTTTAAAAAAAATTAGAGTATTTCGCAAAAGTGCAATAGAAACACTAATTCCGAATCTCAGGAAACAGCCGGACGTTACTACTGGCAGAAAAGACGAAGGAGACGACAGGAAGTGGTAAGTGGATTGTGGCGCATTTGTGGTGAACAAACGTATTTAGGTGTGATTTTAATTACGTTTCTTGTCTAACGGAAAATCCGCAATTGCAAAAGTGCTTTTTTTTTTTCTTTTCTTTTTTTCGAAATTAGCAGAAAACAAAAGTTTTGCACATTTGTAATGCAGTTTCATGTCTCGGCACTAATCTTTAGGGATGAGATCAAATATATGTCATTATCCAGAAAAAAAGGATAATATAGCATTTGAAACCACTGGGAGCTAATTGTGATAAAATAACTCCAATCTGTATTGGAGACCCCCAAAAAGTGTCCTGATCAGGACGTCCCTGTTATTTTAATTTTTTATGCCACAGAATATAATTTTTGCTTCTGCAGTTTTGTGTTGACTGCAACTATATTTCTTAAGGCTATGGTGTGTGTGAACGCATTGCTTGTGTATCCTGTTAAGTCTTCAGTCAAACTCACTCCAGCAGTCAGTTAATATTTTATCTGGCTGTAGAATCTTGATTTAAAACACTAAAAAATGTATTTTTTTTAAATGTATGTAATAAGACTGTCACAAAGCTGGGAGCTTCATTAGTTGCATATATAAATCACTGCGATTCTTGTAGGGAATGAATGAGTGAGTGAGGAATTGCTCAATACTGTCCTGTTTGAATATTCTAGCGTCGAGTTGTTTCACTTTTATATTTGGTGACTTTTTTTTGGTTACAAAGAACTTTTGAATATGTATATTGGTTATTTGTTTCGTTGACTTCAGTTGGTGTTGGATCGCAAATAAAGGAAATGCGGGGAAATAATTCTGTCTTTCCTAACGTATTTTTCAACCGCAGACAATCATTTCAACAATCTGTGACATGATGTCGCTTTTCCTCCACCTTTCCAACATGTTGGGCAACATTCAGCCAATCAGGTTTGGCTCATTCATCATCACCAGCGTTCAGTTTAGCAGAAACAAGATGTGGTGAGTCGTTTTAGGGCCACTTTAGACCCAGCTGCAATAACAGTTCACAGTCTATTGAGTTAACTGTGTCTCTACTCAACACTAATGCACAAAAGGTGATGTCAACTCTTCACTTTTTTTTTCTGAAATCCAAACATCAACCATCAAGAACAAAAAAAAAAAAAAGTTCACAATTGCCCAACATTTCCAGTAAAAAAAAAATCACCTTAAACAGCTTTTGTCAGACGTATCTCAATTGTTACGTTAACATAAGAGAAATAAGCCTCCTAATAATAAATTACCTGTATATCTGTCTGTGTGTGTGTTTGTTTCTGGTCCACAGCACCAAAAACTGTAATTGTGTTGCACATTTCAGCTTAAGGGAAAGTGGCGCCATCTGGTGGACAAACAGAATGAGAACATAAGATACTAGGATGCATTAGATTTTAATCTTTTTTGGCTAATGAGGGTCAAATGGGTTTTTTTTCTACTTGATGAAGGGCTGAATTGCTGATGAAAAGATATTTGTGTTCAGACTGGATGTGTGCTGAAAGTAGATTACAACAACTTTATTTCCTATTTGGAATAAACTCGTTGCGCTCTTGCACAGGTCAAATTTACCCGATGTTAGTGCAGTGGAACGTGACTGAGAAAAACAAAAAACAAATCCAACATGTCTGAAGGAGCGCAGAGAGCATCAGAGTTCGGCTCATTTTGCATATATTTAAGTTTGACAATCAGTTTCACCTGCTGAAGGCTTCAGCGTTAACTGAACCCCAAAGCAATAAAAGTGAATCCTTGAAGATGTATACAGGAGGTCTAATAATCAACATGTAACAGATGAGCAGGGGGAAAAAAACTCCAGTCAAAAGCTTCAAACTTTAAATAATACAACAGCAAAAGAGGCACATGTGGCAGAAAATACACAGCTCCCACATTACAGTAGAGTTTGTTCATTACACGAGATGAAAGGGAAACGGTACTGTGAGAAGAATCATTCTTTGTGCAATCAGAAAGTGACTCAGCCACCGAGAGAGAAGCCAGAAATCACAAGAAAAAAAAAACCCACCAAAAAAGTGTTAATCAAATGTAGCTCATTTGTGCAGGAGTCGTCCAAACATCTGTCCCATGTTTGCAGAGCATGCCGAGGCAAACGCAGATAAATTAGAAAAAGAAGAAGAAAAGACAACAACGACAATAAAGCACACGGAATGAGCAAACATGCACACATCTGTTTTCTTTCCTTCCAGAATGCAAAGAGCGGTTGCAGGATTCTTTGGACGCGGTAAAAAAAAAAAAAACCCAGACTAGACCAAGAGACACAGACGGCTAAATCAGAGCGAAGCAGACACACGTCATCACACCGACTAGTGAGTGAAGAGAACCGCAATAAAAAATAAAAAAACCCATCGCCGTCCAAACCGATGTATGCCAGAATGACTGCAAAGGAAACGCGTCTGAAGACGGCGCCCATGGGAGGATGGGAGGCCGAGTCCGGAAGCAGAAAGTCTGTCGTGGTGAGTTCAGGTGCTATAGGTTCCCCCAGTTCTCAGGGTTAGGAAGCTGTTCTACACTGCCGCTCTCGCTGTGCTTCTGCTCGCCCATGGAGAACGATAGTCTGTACTGCAGCTGGATTTTCTCCTGACGCACACAGAGAAACAAACAACAAAACAGGAGTAATTATTCCAACTGCTGCAAAAACAACATGAATTGTTTTTCTAATTTCTAATTCAGAATAAACATCAGCTATTCTTAAAAGTGTTCAAGAACAGAAATTGTTTTTTTTTTTGAGTGCAGTAGATTTAATATTTCAGAAAAAAATTTCACAGTCAAATTCAAGAGTAGCTAAATATGTTTCCAGGTTTTTTCAAAAAGCAAAAACAAAAGTTACATCAGCTGCAAAAATTTTTTAGATTTATCAAGAGATCCAATGTGCTCGTCAAGGAAAATGTATTTCTGCAGTGAATTTTGCCAATATTCATCACAGATGAATATTCATGGTGCCAAATGACACACAGTCGGACCTGTAAAAATCAGATTTGCTGATAATATTTCAAGACTGTTGTCATGAAAAATAAATTTTTGCACTAAAATTGCCAATTTAGTGCAAGTGTTTAGTGTCACATCAAAGCGTGCATGTCTTGAGCCATAGACTTTCTTCATCTCCTGTTTCCTTTTTGAGGTTGACATATTTCAAAATGGCTGCCGGGGCTGTGATGAAGATTATGTGTTTGCACTAAAGCCAGTGGTCGGTATTGCCAGCAGTGGGCTCAGCTAACTCCACTAATGCTAAACTGCTAAACAGATTTTTAAAAAAATAAGAGTTAGCATAAGCTAATGCTAACTGTCTGCCTCACATCTTCATCAACTGGAGTGAGATTGCAATCAGTAAAAGTCCTCAGTTTGTAATTCTGCTGCATATTCTCACTTCATAGGACGACAAAAGTTATAGCGTGACATAAAGTTCATCCAGGTCATGAAAACGTGCAACGTCTCGTGGTGATAGTTGGTTCAAAGGACTCAAAAACGGCGGCCATCTTGAAATGTCAAAACCATAGGACAAAGTTTCTTGCTTGCACTAAATCATTGTTAGAGCAGAAAACTCATGGAAATAACTTTTCAGAGGAACAATAAAGTCCAAGCTAGTAGCTACCTTGTTGGGGTTGGCTAGCAGCAGGATCTGCGTGATGGCAGCAGGGGGCAGGATGGGGTTAAAGGCTGGGAGCTCTGACCCCGACGGAGGCTGCAGCTTCACCCCCACAGACTGCAGATAAAAACACAAAAACATCAGCCGTCTTTAACCCAGACGCGTTCACATCAGTCGGTGTTAATAGACGATGGTCAGATGACTTTAGGTTAGTGAGTCTGAAAGTCAGAATCTGAGGAGGAGACAGAGTTCATAGGTCGTCACTGCTGACCTTTGGGGCTGTAGCTTCAAAGTGAATGTTGGTGGCGGGAATGGGGGCGGAGGACAACATGGAGATGATCACTACCAGCACGTCGGGGCGGGACGGAGGTGAGTCGCGGGCGAAGTGAAAGAGAACCCGCAGACTGTGTCCGTCAAACACGGTTATGGGTAAGAGACTACCTGGAGGAGCGGTCAGGAAAGAGTTCAATCATTAAAGCTCCAAAAACAACCATATACATGCAAAAAAAAAAAGATTTCTCTCTACTTACTGGGCTTAATGGATTCTAGAGGTACAAAAACATCAGCCAAGGAGGCTTCGGGGGGAGGAGTCGCTGCGTGAGCCGGGCATTTGTCCAGCAGTGGACCTCCCAGGCCGGACCCGGAGGGGTCGGCCGCTAAGGCTACGACCGGAGCGTTGATTCCCGACTTGGTCTGGAGATCCCTCAGAGTCGGCTTGGACTGCTGCTTGTCCCTTGAAGAAGAAAGAAACTTTGCATTCACCCATGATAGACGCTAAACAGCTAGCCAGGGAAAATTAGCGGCTATTTAGCGGTAGCCTCACAGAACACAATGAAGACTCAAACCTTTCCCTGACAGAAAAGTCCAGCAAGGGAAAAAAAACTCAACCAAACTGAATAAACAAGATGAAATTGTCCTGTCACGACAAAATACAAGCGCCATCAAGTCATTCTAGGCCTACTCTCTGTTCTTAATGAATTTAAGACATTTCAAGGCCCTTAATTCACATCTTCCGTGTCTTCAAGGCCACATTAAAATGGCTGGAAGCAGAAGTGCAACTATACAACCGTACATCTATGAAAAGCAGAAGTACAGCCCCCTGCACAATCAACAAGTGGTATCTGGCTGCCAAGTCAACAACAAGACACTTGTCTTTTCCATCAGCCATTGTCCAGCGCATACAGCGGTGAAACCAGCTGACCAAACATACTGGAAAAGGTTTTTGAAACAGCTAACTTTCCAGACACCAAAAGACTTTAACTCAGTGGAATCAGTAGAAACTCAAACGGAAGTACAAAAACCTGCAATGTGAGAATTTTGCATAATTTGACCTTTTTAAGGCTATACTGGTCAGAGTCGTGGTCTGCAGCTCATTTTCACAAAAGACACAGAAGATGTGAACCGTTCCCAAAACTCCAATCCCAAAGCTGGAGTCCGAGTCGAGCAACATGAGGCGTACCATTTGACCTGCAGGCCCTCGGGAGGCAGCGACTGCTGCAGCAGAGTTTTCCCCAGCAGGTCCAGCTCATCCAGTGACGAGAGAGGCTGAGAGTGAGACGGCGGGTCGGGACTCAGCAGGAGACCAGGAGAAGCGTGCAGATCCGCGTCGATGCTGTCGGAGGACTGGAAGGAGAAATAAGATTATTCATTAGATTCCTGCAGCAGCAGATTCTGAAGCGCCGCAGCGTTTTCCCTCGGCTCACCTGGAAGGAATCCCAGGCTGTGGAGTCTTCTGGTTGTGACGGGGGGTTGGAGGTGTGAGTCCCTTCGCTTAAACCTTCAGGAAAGAGACGGAGCTTAGAAGACGTTTCAAGTTAGCTGCGATGTCATGAAACGTAAAATTGTGCAACTCGAAGTTATGAAAATAAATTTGTTTAATGGGAATGTGCCAGTTTAAGACAAAATAACATGTTTCAATACGTTTTTTGCGCTACAATAGGGCATATAGTAGATGTATTTCACAGACTTTATTCGCATCACAACAGTCACATGATCAACAAGCAGATGTTACTACTGGAGGAAATGACAAAACAGACGACAGGAAGTGTTGAATCTGCAGCTCTTCTGCAAAAAAATCACAGATTCAAATTTTTCCAAAACACCACACGTCTGCATAGCCACTCTCCAGAATAAGCTGAAGAGTCAGCTTGTCCACGTCTAATTTTAATTCTATTGCTTAGTCAATGGAAATGCCACAATTCTGAAAATCTTGATTTTTTTTATTTTATTTTTTTTTCCGGATTAGCAGAAACTCGTCTTGCACACATTTGGAACGCAGCTGCTGTCACAAACTTCGAGAGCGTTCGCATTTAAACTTGGAAATGGAAACGTTACCGAGCGACATGAGCTCGTCGTCCAGGAGGCTGATCCTCGTCTCCTGGGAGGGAGCCTGGAGTCGGTCTGTGGGAGTGGGGAACTCTGGGAAGGAAGGAGGCGACTGGGGCGACGTGTCCAATCCGGATAGATCCAGCAGAGCTGTTCCTGAATCAGTAGGCAGCGTTTTAGTCAGCTTACACCAAAGACGAGCATTTCTTCGGTTCCGTCTCGGGACGTCGACCCACCGGCGGGTTTCTGTGCGTTCGGCGTGTTGTTTCCGTTCACGATCTCGCCCTTCACCAGCTGCTTGTACAGGTTGATGACGTGAGTCAGGCTGTCGTTGGCCTGGAGG